ATCATCATAATCATCATAATCATCATAATCATCATAATCATCATAATCATCATAATCATCATAATCATCATAATCATCATAATCATAATTCATTATAATATATAGGTAATGAATTCTTGATTAATTTGATCGATTCCCCCGGGCATGTTGACTTTTCATCTGAGGTTACTGCTGCTCTACGTGTTACTGATGGTGCTTTAGTGGTGGTGGATTGTGTTGAAGGTGTTTGCGTACAAACTGAAACTGTATTACGTCAAGCTCTTGCTGAGCGTATTAAACCTGTGGTAATTATTAATAAGGTAGATCGTGCCTTATTAGAGTTACAACTTACAAAAGAAGATTTATATACAGTAAGTTATTTTATTAAATAAAAAAAGATTATTTGCTTTTTTTTATTTTTATTTTTATTTTTTTGTACTTGACATTTTTATATTCACATATTTTTATGTTTATAATTCCGTTATTTTTAGTCTTTTCAACGTACAATAGAATCAGTGAATGTCATTATTTCAACGTATTACGATAAAGCTCTTGGTGAAATCCAAGTATATCCTGAGAAGGGTACTGTCGCTTTTGGTTCCGGTCTTCATGGTTGGGGATTCACCCTTCGTCAATTTGCTGAGCGTTACTCAAAAAAATTCGGTGTTGATAAAGAAAAAATGATGCAAAAGCTTTGGGGTGAAAACTTTTTTAATCCTGCCACAAAAAAATGGACCACTAAAGGTAATACTCCCGAAGGAAAACAGCTTGAACGTGCTTTCTGTATGTTTGTATTGGATCCTATATTTAAATTGTTTGATGCCATCATGAACTTCAAAAAAGAAGAGACAACCAAAATGTTGGAAAAATTGGAAATTGTCTTAAAGGTTGAAGAAAAAGAATTAGAAGGAAAAGCACTTTTAAAAATTGTAATGAGAAAATTCTTACCTGCATCAGATGCTTTACTGGAAATGATAGTAATTCACTTGCCATCACCTGTAACTGCTCAAAAATATCGTGCTGAAATGTTGTACGAAGGTCCTGGTGACGACGAGTGCGCTATGGGAATAAAAGAATGTGATCCTAATGCACCTCTAATGTTGTACGTGTCTAAAATGGTACCTACCTCTGATAAAGGTCGTTTCTATGCTTTTGGTCGTGTGTTTTCTGGTACCGTAAAATCTGGACTCAAAGTTCGTATCCAAGGTCCTAATTACGTACCTGGAAAAAAGGAAGACTTATTTTTAAAATCAATTCAACGTACAATTCTTATGATGGGTCGTTATGTCGAACCAATTGAAGATTGCCCAGCTGGTAACATAGTCGGTTTAGTTGGTGTAGATCAATATTTACTTAAATCAGGTACCATCAGCACATCAGAAATTGCTCACAACTTAAAGGTTATGAAATTTTCTGTGTCGCCTGTCGTCAAAGTAGCCGTTGAAGTAAAAAATGCAAATGATTTACCTAAATTGGTCGAAGGCTTAAAACGTCTTTCAAAGTCAGATCCCTGTGTCCAATGTTATACAGCTGATACTGGTGAACACATTATTGCTGGTGCTGGTGAATTACATTTAGAAATTTGCTTAAAAGATTTGGAAGAAGATCATGCTCAGGTTCCAATCAAAACTGGTGATCCCGTTGTGTCATATAGAGAAACAGTACAAACTGAATCATCAATAACTGCTTTATCAAAATCACCAAATAAACACAATCGTCTATATGTGAAAGCTTTCCCTATGCAAGAAGAGCTCTCCAATGATATTGAAAGTGGGAAAATAACACCACGTGATGATTTCAAAGCACGTGCACGTGTTCTTGCTGAAGAATATGGTTGGGATGTTACTGATGCTCGTAAGATTTGGTGCTTTGGTCCCGAAACAACTGGTCCTAATTTATTAGTTGATGTAACAAAGGGAGTACAATACCTTAGTGAAATCAAGGATTCATGTATTGCTGCGTTCCAATGGGCAACAAAAGAAGGTGTTTGTTCAGAGGAAAATATGAGATCATGTCGTTTCAATATACTTGATGTTGTGCTACATGCTGATGCCATTCATCGTGGTGGTGGTCAAATTATTCCAACTTGTCGTCGTGTCCTCTATGCTGCTGTTTTAACAGCTACTCCCGGTATTATGGAGCCTGTTTTCCTTGTCGAAATTCAATGTCCAGAAGGTGCAATGGGTGGTATCTATGGTGTATTAAATAGAAGACGTGGTCATGTCTTTGCTGAAGAACAACGTCCTGGTACTCCATTATATAATGTCAAAGCATATTTACCAGTAAGTTATCTTATTACTAGTGAATATTTAATTGCTGGATGTATGCATATATATATATATATAATATTTTTCATAATTGTAATAATAATTTTTTTGTTTTTATATAGGTAAATGAATCATTTGGTTTTACTGCAGATTTACGTTCAAACACTGGTGGACAGGCTTTCCCACAAGCTGTATTTTCACATTGGTACGTATTTTTTGAAAAATTTATTGCGCTGTGATTTTATTTAACAATATGATAATTATTCTAAAATTTTTTTTTTTTAAAAATAGGCAACTTATGAATGGAACACCTTTAGAACCAGGAAAAATAGCTGATATTGTTAAAACCATAAGGAAAAGAAAAGGTCTTTCTGAAGAAATTCCAAGTTTAGATAAATACTTGGACAAATTGTAAAACATTATTATTCAGCATTATATCACTTGGACGAATAACTCTTGAACAAAAAAAAAATAGTATATATTTATAAAATAATTTCCAGAAAAAAAAATTTGTATTTTAAATTAATTTTTATAATTTTTAAAATTTTACATTAAAAAAAAAAATAAAGGAATTAATTTAATTATAGTGTGCACGTGTTCAAATTAATTTATCATTGTCGCAAATTTCAGTGAATGAGCAATTACAACTTGATGTTGTGTTAATTGCTCTCAATGTTAACGATATTCTTTCATCCCTTTCTCTAATTAATCCATTATCCAGTAAATCACTTTTTCTTGCTCTATTATTAAAAATAAAAACTTTAATGAAAAAAAAAGAAGCTTCTTTTTCTTATTAATAAAATAAAATCGAATCACCACCTTATAGTATGACTCCACAAATATCTTGCATCATCTTGAAGTATAACTAACGATCTTTTTGGTAAATCAACGTTAACAACTTCACCAGTTTTAAAATTTTTAAATTCCATGATAATAGAACTTCCCAAACTAAATGACAAAATTGTATCACCAAATGATGAGTGACTATCAACATGAGGTGGGATTCCTGTGCCAACAGGATAAATTTGAATTGTTAATTGTTGCATATCTGGTATTGTTAATGAAGGATACAAATTTTTTAATTTCTCCAGTAGTGATTTAATGTAATATGGAAACTTTAAATTTAATTCATCAACTTTGTTTGTGTCATAATTAAATTTATAACCATAATGTGACTATATTCACATATAAATATGGTGTGTGTGGTGTGAATGAATAAACATATATATATATATGAATTAATTAATTAATTGACTAATTGACAATAATTAATGAATTTGCTAAAAAAAATTTTTTAAAGAAGAAACATATTATCACTTTACCACAAAACGATTTTGAATTTGAATCCAAGTGTCAATTGAATTTACGTGATTTATTATAATTTTTTCTAAATCAAATGAGATAAATTCCTCTAACAATATTAATCCCGATATTTTCTCATGACTCTTATTTTTATTGTGATTAATTTGATTAATGAAATTTTGATATGATAAATTAACGAATTCAATAAATATTATTTTCCCTTTTAAAATTTCACATTGCTTATCATGAAGTGATTCTCGTGCATGAAATGCATCTAAAGCTGTTTGAAAAATAACAAAAGAATATGGCTACATCATGTTATTGATTGATTGATTGATTGATTGATTGATTGATTAATTAATTAATTATTGATTTATTTAGAAATGAGTAATAATAACCTTTGCTCAACTGCTTCAAAAAAAAAATCATAATACCTTTCCATGAGTTAAGTTTACTCCAACCCAACCTTCATATTTTTCAAAAAGTTTTGTCAACTGTTCAGAAGTAACTCCACCAACTCCACCATAACAAACATTCACCAAACATAAATATTTTGTAGCCTCGCTTGAAAACAAATTAATACAAGAAGATTTCTCAAACTTTTCTATAATCTCATAAGCTTGAATTCTTTTTGCTTCTTTTTTTCTATAAAGTCTTTGTTCTGTACGTGTTAATAAGCTGGCTGCTTTATCAGAAGACATGTGTTTAATGTTACTCAAAGCTGCGTCAAATATAAAATATAAAATATCCATCATACACGATTTATCCTTGACCTATTTTTCTTTATTGAATCGGTAACGATCATCTAGAGTAATAATAATAATAGCATTGTAGGTAATGAAAATCAGGATTAGCTTTGAGCGGCAAATTTTTTTGTTTTAGAAATTCTATATTGGTACCGATCTTGAAAATAAGAGGATAGAGAAAAAAAATAATAAAATAAAAGATTTAGAGAACAATTATGAAAATGAACAAGAGGAAAAAAGATAATTGAAAGAGCAATTAAAATATTTAAATAAGAATAAGGAAATATCCACTAATGTGAAAATGGTTAAATTAAAGCCCAGCTAAGGCCAAAGTGAAACAAATTGAAATAACGCTTTGAGAAAACAAATTTATACTCTTTGATTTGTTTCTCTGCTTCTATAATGAACTACCGGTATCACAATTTTGTACACTTTATATAATGCTCTTTGTATTTATTTATTTTATTATTTCATAGTTAAATACGTAATCTTACAAATATATATATTAATATTTATAAAAACAAATATTTTTGTTTATACAGAAACAGTTTTAAATATATTAAATCCTGAAGCAGCTGTTGATATCACACAACCAGAAATTTGTGGATGCCAATGTAATTCCTTGATGTCATTTTGTCCCTGTTATATATTATTACAAAGAACAAAAATATAAGTTGTTGTTAATATTATTGTATTAATACTAATAATAATAATAATAATAATAATAATAATAATACTAATAATACTAATAATAATAATAATAATAATAATAATAAGTTATATATTATTACCTGATGAATAAATAATAATTGTGAAGGAATAATGACACCATTGTTGCCAACAATTTTGTTTGAAGAATCTTCTTCGGGGTCATTTTCAACTGAAAGATCCCATATGGTTATTTGTTCATCGGCTCCAGATACACCCAATACTGATTCTTCTGTTGGATGCCATTCAATTGAAGTAATTGGGGCTGAATGCCATTTGAATGATGCAACTGGTATAGGTTTTGTATTATTGCTTATTATTGAATTTAAACAATAAATTAATAATTCACATAAATGATAAATGTAATTTCTTGCATATACATATGTTATTTATCATATACTTACTTTACAAATGTTCGTAAATCCCATATACTTATAATACCATCATCTGATCCAGACGCAATTAAGTATTCAACTTTTCTAAAAAGTAAAAGAATTTAATTTTAAATTATAAATTGTAATCATAGTTGACATCACAATTTTTCAAGTATCAAAATTTTAAATTTCAAACCTATTCCAAGTAATGACATTAACATCTGTATCATGTGCTTTAACACATAAAGCATCTTTCTTTTTTCTTATATCCCATATTCTTATTGTTTTATCAACAGACGCACTCGCAAACACGTTATTTTCTGATGGCGACCATTGTAAGTCTTCTACCGATTCCGTGTGTCCTACAAACGGCACGAAATCTGCTTTAAATGTGGATTGAGACTTCGTTGTAAGATATATATTTGAACGCATATCACCAGTTATTAATCTTTTAAAATTATAGTAAAAATAAAATGTTCAAAACCTCCCATGAATTTTTATTTAAAAAAACGGAATAGATTTTAATATTTTATAATATTAATATACCTTCCAGTTACAGTCCGTGACCAATCCATGGCAAATCCCTCAGCACTATGAGTTTCCACTGTGTATAATGGCTTTGATGCATTCGATGGTATTTGTTTACCAGCTGTTTCTATGCTATCTAATGCTGGCTTTATGTCCCATATATGAACTTTACCAGTATCTGACCAAGTAGCTACAATAGAACTATTTTCTTGTGGCATAGCCTATAAAACAAACCATTTATTTAATGTTTGATATTATTATAAAATATATAACTTTATATGTGTATGTGTGCATGTATGTACCCTAACGCGATTTACACCTCCATAATGTTTTAGGCTCTTATGTTCCAAGATAGGATCTTCATCAAATGTATCATCGTCATCATCATTATCATCATCATCAGAATCATCATCAGAATTATGATCTAATAATATAATAAACAAAAGAAACAATTAATTTTACTAATTATTATCGTTATTATCATTTATAAAGGTGAAAGAAGGACATTAATAAAAATTTTTATTACTGTTTCGTGTTTTATGTAATTGAGATATTTTCATTATCATTAATTCATTATTTTTTGGTTTATCTGCCTGTGTTCCTCCAACAAGATATACTGTTGCTGGATACTGTATTTAATTAAATTATATTTATATAATTAATATCATGTAAAAGAATCATCTTAAAAGTAAAATTGTAAACATGCGTGCACACCATTTTTCTATCTTCTCCCAAGTTATCATGCAAAATATCAAAACTTAGACATGGCCATTTAACACTCATGGAATGCAGCATTTCATATACCGATTGGTCAGCTTCAAGAACTTCGTCTTTCTCTAATTTTTGTCCAGGAAGATAAATTCGACGTTCCGATATCTTTTCATCAACTTCCATTGCTAAATGTATAGGTATAATTCAATTTAATTTCTTTTATATATGTGTGTGTGTGTTTAGAAATTGATTATAAACAATACAATTTTTTTCATTATCATTTTCTCCATCTTCCTCCTCTTCCTCTTCGTCTTCCTCTTCGTCTTCGTCTCTTGCTATTTCTTCTTCAGACTCAAATTCGTCTTCCCAAGGATCTTCAAATTCTCCCATGCCTTCGTCACCGGTTGATATTTCATTTTTGTGTGTTATTTTACCAAATTGTGTCTTTGGCAAAACTGAAGAATCTATTTCAACTTTTTTTTTACTTCGTTTCGACATTTTTTATTTCAGAATTTTTTTATCAAAAAAAATGTATAATCCGATCTTTAATAATAATTGGATAATCAAAATTGTCCATCAAATATAAAAATATAAAAAAAAATTTTTTTAATAAAAAAATAAATAAAAATGCCAATTGACGCGGCAACCTCAGCTTTAAATTTATCGTTCCCACCTACATCATCGGCTCCGGGATTTATAGTTCCTCAGAGTCGTTCTTTTACAGTTTCAGTGCATCCGGTAGTGTTTTTTTCCATTCTCGATCATTATTTAAGAAGACAAAGAGAACAACATAGGGTTATAGGTACCCTGTTAGGAGTAAGAAATGAGGATGGCAGTGAAGTAGAAGTTCGCAACTGTTTTCCCGTCCCACACAATGAAACTCTTAATCAGGTAAAAAAAAAGCTTGCTTTTCATTATGTTAATTTAAATAATGTATTAATAAGTTGTGGTTTTTTTAATGTAAAAAATAGGTAGCAGTTGATATGGAATATCATCAAAATATGTTCGAACTACATAAAAAAGTAAATGCAAAAGAAGTTATTGTTGGATGGTATGCTACAGGTTCTAATCTTAATCAATGGAATGCCTTAATACATGATTTTTATTCAAAAGAAGTGTCAGTGCCATTTCAAGCAATTCATTTGACAATGGACACAGATATTAAAAATGAAGAAAAACTCTTGGGCGTCAAAACCTATGTAAGGTAATAAACTAAATAAACTAAATACGTGTGTATATATATATGTATGTGATGATTATTTTATATGGTTTTTTTTTTTAAACAAACATTTTATTTATTTATTTTTTAGTGCACCAATTGGTATTTCAGCGAAACCAGAAAATTGTTTGTTTTTGCCTGTTCCATGTGACGTTAAATATTTTGATGCCGAGAAAAGTGGACGTATGTAACAAAAAACCAAATTTTTGAATTATTATTTTTTTTTTCCTTTTTCCCAGTGTATTTACCATATTTAAAAACTTTTTTTTAGTTAATCTTCTTGCATCTGCCAAGGATGATGTAAATCGTTCAACATCTTTAATTTCAGACATGGATAATATTGAGAAGACTTTATTATCTGTACAAGATATGTTGGAAAGAATTATAAATTATACAAATAAAGTTTTGGCATGTCTTTTTTTTTTAAAAAAACAATTATATATAATATGACGGTTAGTAGTATATATTAAATGAATGAATGCTTTTTTTATAGGATGGGAGTGTTCTGCCAAATAGTACAATCGGAAGATTTTTGATGGATTCAATTTCAGTTGTTCCAACAATAGATAAAAAAGAATTTGAAAAAATGTTCTACAGCCATTTACAGGTTCATCTTGTTTTCATTTATGGTTTTATTTTACAAAAGAATTTTTTTGCTAAACGATAAAATATTTTTAGGATTTATTGATGGTCGACTATCTTGCAAATTTGACACGTACACAACTTGCAATTGCAGAAAAATTACAACTTCTTGTATGATTTAAAATTTTTAACTTGTATTTTAAATATTTTTTTGTAAACTATAATAAAAAAATTTTTTTTATGTTATTAAGGAACAGATTGGATGAGAATACCTTGTATTCTAAGATTGACTATTGCCCAAGTTTTTATTATTCATAAACATTAGCTCTCATAATAAAAATTACCCCCAAAAGAAATATCATTTGTGCCATGAAATAAGCGCCCGATTATGATTGTTTGAACTGAAATTTGCCACTTGAACTTTTATTGAAACATTTAAATATATATTGGAAGATGATTAAGATGATTATAATACACTTTATTCTTGTATTCTAAATAAACATTGGCATAATGTCAACACCCCACAAATTAACGGTGCTATTAATAAAATAAAAATTTAAAATCAATCATACTTCCAAGTATTGAAACTATGAGAAAATTTATTATGGGCCATTTAGATCAGATTTATCAAATTTTATTAAAAACAATGAAATAAATCTTAAAAGATTATATATTGAGGGCTTAGCAATCCAACAAAATTATTTAGAAGAATTGATTGATTCACATATTTAATAATCGTAGTAAATTAAAAAGGATTACAATAAACCCTTATTTAATACCCGTAGCCACATGGTTCTTCCACAGACAATTTGCCACAACATTAGAAAACAAACAAGCTACTGAGATCACGACTTGGCTGAAAAAACTCCCTAATTTAGCATGGCTAAATGCAGAATTCGCCATTTCGGTAGTGAAATAAGTTTTGTACAATAATTCTGATTATAAACAGCAGGCAAGATGTTTTCTAGTTTTCACTTTGCTAAGCTTTGCGAGTAAAAGATCATTGGAGATAGCTGAGCAAATCCTTTGGATAATCTACAGCTTGAGTTCAGGTTCCAAATAAAATGCATCATGGATTCATTCCTACTTCAAATTCATTAGAATTTGCAATTCTTTTTTTCAATAGCCATGTTTTAGTTCCATATTCAATCAATGCTATGGCCCTAAGCCTTTTGAATTTTCTAAACAGTTTCTGTAGAAAACCTACTCTAAGCCCTAAACTTAAGAGTTTCTAGTCACATCATTACTTCTCACATTTCATTTAGTTTCAGTAGAACCATTATAAAGTTAAACGATTGAACTCTTGAATCTTGTGATTCATATATATAGCACAGACTGCCTAGAAAACGAGTCAATCGCATTAGAAAAGAGGATACAAATAAGAAATTTCAATCTTATTATTTAAGAAACAATTTAGTCTTCTCCTTCTGCTCAAGCAAGGTATAGTTTTGCCAACTCCAAGTATAAAGTTCTACTGAAATCCCATAGCCTAATACCTTGCAGAATAATGGGTTTCATTTTTGTAGCACCGGCAAGTGACAAGTGCAATTAAATGAATCGAATGACAGCTTGGATTTTCTTGAACCCATTTTCTAACGACGTCATATATACTTGCAGATCCCTTTTGTGAATTACTAATACTAATATTATAATGTCACACAAATAAATTTCATTGGTCAATCAATTGAAGATCTACATTTAAACATTAACTGTATAAAATTTACGTTACATATATATTCTACCCTTAATATCAAGTGGAAGATTAATGACATTAAAATTTATACGTATATTATTCTATTTCTTGCTAATAATATTAACAATGGCAGAAAGTACTTCAATCGAAGAATGGCATCAAAAATTAATTGGAAAGAAATTAGTTTCTTCTGGTGAAGTTGCAGCTACAGACGATTCAAATGTAAATTACTTTATTATTAATAATTGTTATATTATCAATAGTCGGGCATACCATTCAACTCACAATTATTATGAATAGGTTTTTAAAATAGAAGATTTACCTAAAAATCACCGTGTTATAGGACCAGATACGTTTTACATCATGAATTTTGTTCCTGAAAGGTCAGTGAAAGGAGTAGCATTTACACATTACACAATTATATGATTATGCTAATTTATATTTAAATTTATGAAAATAGATTGAACGTTCATATTGATAAAGAGAATAAAGTTACTAACGTTAAATTTGGTTAAAGATATGTTATGTAATTATATTAATTATCACACCGAATTTGGGAAATAAACAAGAATAAATAAATGATGAAATTTAATTATTAAAGTTTAAAATTTTCATTATCAGTAGTGGTAGTGGCAGATGTTGAAGATGAAGATGCTGAATTTTTTGTTGATTTTCTATTTGATAAGAAAAACCATATAAATAATCCAACCACCGAAATCCCAAATACTCCCACTATTTATTAAATATTTTATTTACATTAGTAAATTATAAATAAGAATATAATAAATAATAATTGACTAATGTTACTTACTAAATACTAATCTAGTCATTTCCCATTTTACAGCTTCAATTCTAGTTCTTATATCACCAGATGCAATAATGAATTTATTATTAACTTCTTGGATAGCTATTGCCATTTTATTCTCTTGAGATCTTACTTGATCTTTACGCATATTAATATCGTTTTGAATATTGCTATTCATATTTGCTATATCATCTTGAAGCTTTTGTCCTAGTGATGAAACATCTCTTTGTATCGAAGCAATTTCTGCCATCAATGCCGTTTGATTTTTCTTTCGACTTACTTCTAATTCTATCCGAAAATCTGTTAATTCTGCTTTATAATGATATGTTTCCTATTTGTATTTTGTGACAGTTGAGGATATAGAAATTGTTATTAAATGACATGAAAGAATAGAGAAAGAAATGAATGGAATCTCTTCCTTCGTATTATTCTTTCCCATTATCCTCTCTCGTATTCTGTTCAATATCCATTCCTTACATTTTCTAGTTCTACTTTGGATAATAACTCTGATCTAATCTTGAGGCTAAAATTTCAAATAATTTCTATTATAAAGTAGTAAATAAATAATACTAATAATAGCCATAATTATAATAATGATTTTTTTAAGAGAATTTAAATTTAATTGCTATCGAACCTATTGATTAATACTGCTTCCATGCATCTCATTATTGAGTTTGCTTGTCCTCTAGTTAACCCTTGACCTTCCAAATCTTTAACCACTTTATATGTATTGAAATTATATTGCGTATTACTTTCAGGTTGTAATATAAATGGGTCTGTTTGTTGTGTATTATTTACTGATATATTTTTTGTCGATGTTGGTGATTTTGATGTTGTATTATTATTAATGTTGTTGATGTTATTGCTATTATGAGCTGATGATAACCTTTTGAAATTACTTTGTAAATTTACAAATTGATTCATTCGGAAAGCAAAAAATGTTCGTTGTGAAAAACCTATTTATAAAGATAAGAATTCCAATCAACATAAATAAATGTCTTTAAAAAAATCAATGAATTTTAATAAATTAATTACCACGAATACCACCAATTGTAGGTGATAATAAACGAAATGCTGTTAATTTCAAAGACATTAAGAAATATTTATGAATTTTGGTGTGGAACAAATTATCAGTTACAATAGAAAGATAGTAATAGATGGATCTAATAAAATTTTTAGGTTTTAGTGTGCGCAAAAATTTTTAAAATATTAATATATATATATATATATTTACCTAGAAAAATTTGATTTTTTTTACCTGTGGGTTGTATGATGAAACTTTTGACTTTTAGTCACCGATGTAACTAAAGTATTGGTGATATCTCACCAAAATCAGTAGCAGGCAAGCAAAAAACAATGACTGAATGAGAAATTTGTCGATCATTAATATTTTTTTGTGGGAATCTGACACTTCCTCACGTGACTTTGACTTACATATTTTTTACCACTCATCACGAAATTTGAAATTTTCATTTTTTAAAAAATTATGGGGATGTTTTTTATAGCAAAACTAGAGAGCTTTGCAACCGTACAAAAGTCAAAAGGTTTTGCCATAAGTTGAAACTAGTTTTGACATATAACTTTTAATTTTAGTTTTGACTTTCATCTCTTCAAAATAGTTTTGGCGACCAACACTAGTTTGAAAGAAGGGCCCAAAAAACCAAATCGGCTGATATGGTAATTACATATTACCAGCAATTTTCCCATTATTATCTTTTGTATTAATATTGGCTGAAATATATAGAAATCAATCGTCCGTCACGTCACTAAAATTTATCAGCAAGTATCAAAGTATCTGATTTGATTGGCTAAATCGATTTCGTCAGTTTCGTCATTTCATCAATTTTGTCAAAAGATACTTGGTGATAATGATAAATATGATAAATATTGAATTTCGTCATGTATAATTTCGTCAACCATTTTTAGTAGGGAGCGCTACCTTTCGTGACTATACGGTACCTAATTATTTGATAAAGATACAAAGAATGACTTTAAAAATTTTAATGTTCTCATCCTCTAACTTTGTAAAAAATCTGATTCACCCAACAATTCTATTGAGTCATTTACAAGTAGCATATTAATATATTTTAATGGCAGAATATTATTGTTGATATTTTCTGAAAATTAAGCTTTATTTCATAACATTATATTATAAAATCACATGTGAAGTTGTAATAATTAAAATAAAATATCATTTATTCTAATCTACATACTTCATAGTTTTTTAGCAAATGTACTAATTTATTTTTATTTTTAAGATTCAAATTCTTTTCATAATTGCTATGCTCATAATGACAATAAGGTTCATTACTGAACTGTGCAAACTCCTATAATATAATAAATTTTAAGTATGTTATTATTTAATAAAATTAACTAAAAAAAAAAATACTCACCCAATCTGCATTGGTGTCTAATGCCCATCCAAATTTTTCATGGAGACTTTTACTAAAAATCTTCATGATCGGTACATCATACTTTTTACACCATGCAACAGAGATACATGGGTCTATATAACGAATGTATATATAAGAAAGTAGTTTTTAATGCAAACAATTTCCTTATTTGTATTTCTTTGGTCAAGATTGACAAGTTTTTTCATAATGAACTGAACACAGACCTTCCATCCAAACTTAACTTAATGTTAAAAAAATATTCCCAAACTTTAGTTTTTTATATGAGGTATACTGTAGCAAAACCAGACAAAGTGAACATTGGTATTACCATGATACCTGTCTAGACAAAAATAATTAATATGAAATTAATTTATATTAGATCTACTATGGAACCAAGAATTATAGCACCATTAGAAGTATTTTGAAGAAAGAACAAGGTGAAAAATTGCTCCTTACATTTTCAAAATAAATGATACTCAGACACTTGAAGCTTATCTAAGATTACTTATGAAATTTACCAAGAGGAAAGAAAAATCATAACTAATAAAAGAACATCAATGTGGAGACATGATGAACCTAGAAAGAAAAGGAAGTTCAAGAAAAATAAACTTATTTTTTAATTATTAGTTAATAAACATGTGCAATTAACACTGAAAAAGAAAGAACAGTTTTACATGACCAAAATTAATATCATTAAGTCCTTACTTTGCTTGATTTTTTTCTTCTTATCAAATAGACAAAAACTCCTATTTCCACCACTATTATTTCTTCTAATAATAAATAATTGGTTGAGTCAGTTGAGGGTAATTATTCTTGCTTTTGCTAAGTAACTATTTAATTTCTTCAATATCAATTTATCCATACCAAAACCTTTACCTATTACTATTTTGTGTATAAGTATTGTATCTTTCCATTCAATAATTAATTTTCGTTTGATTGTATTGTCATATTCAATTTCCATTAATTCAACGCCCACAAAAATTTCTTTGCTAACAACTGATGCATATAATGACTTTTCATGAACTCTGTTGTATTTGAGTTTGAAATTCTTTCAGAGAATTTCTTTTCATTTAAAATATTTTTTGTTCCTTTTCTCTAAGAATACTACTTATATTAGCAGAAAATGGATTGGTTTTAAGAAAATAATAGCCAATGGAGAATGGTTTCCCCTTACAGCCTTTGACATCTTTTAAAAATGAAATACATGAAAAAAAAAGTGTAGAATTTATCACCACTTGTATGTCATAAACATAATAAATATTATCCATTCAGTCATAAAGAAATATACCTTCTTTGTGTACATTCATACAAGGAAAAAAATAAATATTTTTTACCATTTGGGGGCTTTTCAATAGAAATGGGGTTTACTATTGTTTTTGAAACTTTAAAGAAAATTATCTTGATATTTTACTATGCAAAGTGAGTATAGTTTCTAAGCCAAAAACATTCTACATGAGGAGTTACATATAGCAATAGTATTAACTCAAAATTGCTTTTTTCACAACATGGTCTGTTTCTATTGAAAAGCCCCCATTTAATCAAGAGCATAATTTCAATAATAACTGTAATGCCTCATTTGGTTTTGGTTTCTGACATCCCAGTTCATTAGGAATATCACTTAGAGCATGATTTTTTATAATATTAAAAATACATAATATAAAAATGAAACAATTTAGCGAATAATTATAGTCTGACTATAATCACCTTTTTTTTTTAGGCATTTTTTTTATTATTTGTAACCTGATGCTCTTATATTTCAAAGAAAAAAAATTTCAAAGGAATATTTTATTAATATTAATAAATATCATAATGGAAAAATTGTGGACAGTATGTCTAAAACGAAATTAAACATAAAATAATTTTCAATTTTATCATGACAAATGTTCACCATATTTCATATAGAGTTACAAATTTAATGAATATGACTAGAATTATAATTATATTTAGAAGCAAAAGGTATGTATAGATCTAGAATGACTTTCTGCATCACAACTAAAAAGTTTATTATGATAATATTATGTGAAAAAATTTTAACATTATAAAAAAAACTAGTGATGTTAGCCGGCTAATAATCTGCATACATAATTTCTAAATTTGGTAATAGATTTCTGTATTACCTTCTGGTTATAGAAATAGAATTACCAATTTAGGTAGTAAACGGCTTAGCCGGCTAAGGATTTTTAAACGGCTAACATCACTAAAAAAAACATCTAATAAAAATAAAATAAAAATAAATTGTTTAGCTTAGAATTTCTAAATTTCAATATCTTGCTATACTATATATTGTTCAAGAGTATTATTTTGTTGCTGTGCTTTTATTGTAAAAGGTTTAACACCTTTCCAATTATTTATTAATTTGTCAAATAATTCTTTAGGATGTCAATTTTCTTAGCACTGTTTGAAGTAAAGACTAGTGCCATAATCCAAAAAAGGAAAAGTGTGGTTGCAAAAGTGGTCGCAAAGGTAATTGTGACCACTTTTTATATGCCATAAATACAATTACTACCATTACCATAATTTATGGCACTAGTCTTTAGTTTGAAGCAATGATAGTAAAATTTGATTGCAACTGATTTTTTTGGTATTACTATCATTTCTAAATTCAATACTTTCTAATTTACTGCAATTGTTAAACTCCTTGGTCTGCTCCATTTCTATAATATATTGATAATTTTTACAATATTGTGCATTGCATCCCCAAACTTGATAAATTTATTAAAGATTTTAATTGAACCAATTGGGCTGCAATACTGTTGAAACCTTATACAACTGCTCTAGCTAAGGTGTCCAAAAGGTAGAGTAGTATTTATTTAAGATGCTTTTCAGCAATGATTCAGAAATGATTTATTGACTAAGGATCAGTTTATTAATTGTAAAAGTGTTATGTGTCTTTATTAGCGATAATAATTTAGGTATAAGGTTATTATTATATTATTGTTATTATTGTATCATGAACATGATGATTCTCACTTGGTCTAAAACCAAGCCTTTTTATACCTCTTGAAGTATTACAAATAACATGACCTTTATTAATCCTATTTAGAATAAATAGTGATCACAATCATCATATTCATGATTATCAAAAATCCAAAAATCCCTTAAAATTATCTGTCAATCACTTGATTTTGATAAGTGTAACCCCCTTAATGAATATTCATGAATATGATGATTGTGATCACTAAGAATAAATTAAATCTAGAAATGATGTAATGATCTTTGTGTGTAATGTGGCGCAATGTGTGGTGCAGCCATTACACAAAATATTAAATTAAAAATACAGTCACACCTGTCTATTTGCATACTGTTGGGACTGATGAGTTTTTATGCAAATAGACAGAATATGCATATTCATGTTATTGTGTGGTTGCTGTTACATACAATCACGTGACATGAATGTAAAAATTGTTTTGTGTCATTCACATCATGGTTCTAATCAATTCATTAATTTTAATAGCTTAATCATAAATTTTTGAATTTTACTCAATTTTATACAAACATCATATATTTCATTATCCTTTACATTTACAATGAAGAAAGTCACATTAACCAATCAACAATGTTATCAAATCTGTTTCAAGAATTTGGTATAAAAGTTGATCAAGCAACTATTTCCAGAACATTAAAGTGCTCATATGAGTATTTGGATAATGAAACAAACTTACTACAAAATCCACTACAGAAAAAACCCCGTAATGTTAGATATCCTGAACTTGAGCTTGCACTCCAAGAATGGTGTTTGCACTCACAAAACCATATTCCTCTCACCGACCTAATCATAACTGAAAAAGCTAAATCATTTGCAAAATTGCTTAATATTCCTGATGATGCATTGACATTTTCTTCTGGGTGGCTTCAAAGCTTTAAAAACAGGTATATTTTTACACATATTTATGATATTAAATTATTAATTTCTTTTATAACAAATAATTACATATGTAGAAACAATTTGAAAAGATATCAATTGCATGGAGAAAGTGGATCAGCTGATACCAATGCAATTGAAAATGCACTTCCTGATTTAAAAGCAATTATTAGCTCCTTTAGACCTGAATGTGTATATAATATGGATGAAACAGGACTGTTCTTCCAGCAAGTATATTACTATAAACAATATTTAAAATATTGTTATTTGCTAATGTAATTTAATAAATACATATAGACTTGAACCTGACACAACTCTAGCAACAAAACAACTTGAGGGAAAAAAAAAGGACAAGGAACGTTTGACTGTTGTGCTCTGTTGTAATGCTGATGGAACTGATAAACTTCCACCTCTCATTATTGGAAAATTTTTAAAACCTTGGTGTATGAAAAATGTTAATATGAACAGTGTTGTCAGCGGACGCGGACATGGACATGGACTGTCCATGTCTGTGTCCGTCACTTTAAATGTCCTGGACCATTCTTGGACAAAAATATAAATTTTTACCTACTACCTCTTAAAGCTTTGGTGAATCTGTAAACACTTTATGG